TACGCTTCCTCTAGTTACATCAGTTACGTTGGAATAACAGAACGTAACAACATCTGATAATTTCTTGACTGCCATATTTACACATTTACCTGAACAGGGTTATAAAATCAGTTAACATTTCAAAACATCAGATAGTCATTTACTTCCGTTTCAAGTAAATTACATTTAAGTATATTTGTTAAAGTGATCTCACAGCATTCTGTTCCATCTATGTGTGACATTTATACAAATGTAGTTAAGGCTCGTAAATCTCAATATATCACAGTTAAACTTAGGAAATAAGTAGCTCAATATGAATACTTGAGCTTTGTTGATTCTTATGATTCACCTCTCCTGTGATCAATAATGGACCAGTCCAGCAACAATCCACCCTAATCCCATATAATCAGTGGAGCATGACTGCTCACATAGCCTAATGAATTTTTACTGACCTAGCTAAATAATTTTAGGCCATGTGGGCTGACACACTTTCACCCATCATAAAAAGGTATAGTTTTCTCTCGATTGTTGAAGAACCAAGAGCTAAAATGCTCAGCAATAGAATATTTAAACAGTGTAACCGAGGATTGTTCACATATCGATCCAGCGGAATAGAGAACTAATCTATTCAGAGAATGACAGACACGTGAAAATGTGGGTTGGTCTTTAGCAACCCATGCCTTTGTTGTAAGAGGCGACTAACGGGATCGGGTTGTCAGGCTCGCTGACTTGGTTGACACATTTCATTGTTTGGAATGATGTAAGATGGTGCCTAAGAGCTGGGTTACTCTTGAATTATTCTGCTGTTATCAGTCATATTTGTGCATTAGTACAATGTACGTGTTGTATCAGACTGATTTTGAGACGTAGACCCAGAACTTGACAGCAGCACTGATCAATATGTTTTGTCAGTCTTTCACAGTTGTTGTTGCAAAACCGACAAGAAAACCCGACGCCATCGTTTGTAGCAGGACCAGGGATCGGGGGTCTTCAACAGGTCATATACCTTATTCTAAAAAGTAAGAGGGGCGGTGGGTAGCCTAGTGGTTAAAGCGTTCGCTCGTCACGCCGAAGGCCCGGGTTCGATTCCCCACATGGGTACAATTTGTGAAACCAATTTCTGGTGTCCCCGCCGTGATATTGCTGGAATATTGCTAAAAACGGCGTAAAAACCATACTCAGTCAGTCAGTCAGTAAAATTAAGACGAAGGTATGTAATGCTAATGAGCTAATATCAGTAACTTAATCGTTACTAAAATGGCTTATAAACATCATCCTTATGGTGCAGAAAGTGAATATTTGTCGGGTGATAAACCAGTACTTTGTTCACATTTAATCAATTTCCAGCATTTCCACGTTCGTAAATACTTGTGTGGTGGTGGTGGTGGAATTGGGTTTAACGTCGTACTTTGAGAATATTTCGCCCATATAACGACGTGCATGCGTGTGTATGTGAACGTGCGGCTGCTTGTACTAGCCCAGACTTAAGCTGGTTTTATAGTGCTAGCCCACTGAGATACCATACCGCAGTGAAGCATGAATACCCCACTCAGACACATTATACTGACTCCGAGCCGACCAGTCCTTGTTGTACCCATTAATGCCGAGCGCCAGGCAGGGACCAACAAGTACCATATTTTAACGTCTTTTGCATGACGCGGCTCAGGGATCGAACTCCGCGACCTTCCGCCTCCTCCAGGCGGACGCTCTAACCACTACACCACGGGAGGCGGTCTAAAATACTTTGTGTCATCATGTGCATGCTCGGTGCATATACTTTTGCAGAAACCACAGGCAGAACAAGGTCTCCTCCACCACAGGCCCCTCGTGTCTTTGCGAGGATTAAAGAAGAAAAATATTGTTTTTGAGATGACCCCTGACTCAAAAAAGCTTCACAGTACAATACATAGTGGTGTGACGATTTATCGATACGCATCGATCCATGGGCCGCCGATACAGTGAATCGATACAAAGTTTTACACTTGTCGCATATCCCGATACCATACTTCAAATGGGCAACGATACATTGCTGTTTCATAATGAATATTGCCGAATCGCGATATCTGTCAAGAAAAAGACTCCTACTTTGTTTGATGATTAAAATATTTGCTTACTTATTTTCCCTTCATAAGTAAACGTTCCCTCGGAAATTCTTGCGTCAGCGTCAGATTACAGTGCTAACATGTTATTATCATTCACAAAGTCCGTGTGTAAACTTAATTATCTTGTTTCCGAACGAACATTGGAAAACGCTGGCGGAATTTGACGAAATACTTTTAAAATGGTTTTGTTTCTTTGATATTCAGGTGTTTTATAGCTGGTGCTAGGAATTAAATATTTTATTATCGTGATGCGTATCGTACCGTCACCCTTTATATCGGGATTCGTATCGTATCGCAGCTTCAGTGCACGATACTTTGGGCAATATATCGTCGTGACTAAAATTTTAACATCGTAATGTATCGTATCGCAGGTTGTATGCCAGTACCATCACTAAAATACATCATGACAAGGCCGGACAATTTCGGTGCACTTCACCCGACTGCTTTGCTGATCGCTACGCTACCATAGCATGTAATCGATTAAACTTCTCTAATGTAAACATTATCATGGATGATTGGCCTATCGAGCACCATTTACGACACCTACCAATTCTTTATTGTTATTTCTGCAAGTCGATTGAAACCCGATTTTGACTCTCAACTAAAACGATTTTGACACAAATGGATGACGATATGTCCTCACACAACGGGGTGTGGTCGAAGCGATATTTTAATTTATATAATTAGTGCTGGAGCGTTAGTCTAATTTTCGTAATGTCAAAAAATGACTCAGTATCTTAGTTAAAATATTCAATCTCAATATGACCACCAATTTATTATATATATGAATATTGATGACAACAAATCTCTAACATTCGAATCGACGACGCGGATCTGTCGTGGATGTTTGATATCAACTCTTCTAATTATAACGCCGTACTTCAACCGTTGAACCGGCTTTTCCTATTCAACAGCCCAGCTTGACTCCATGGGGAGACTTTCATGGAAATCTTCTTGGAAATGCAGTGACTGTCTCTGTGTCACTTTAGCCTTCCCGGGACGACATGGTGTGTACAGCGTAACTGGGTGGTCAGGCTCGCTTACTTGGTTGACTCGTCATCAATTCTAAGAAAGCTACACCAGCTTTTCTCCTACCGGGAAGTGCGTTCAATACCTTCAGTCTGTGCTACAAGGAAGGAAAGACAGGACAGCCATGGGACAGCGTTTGTCCGCACCTGCCTTCGATACGAATTACGACCGACTGGAAACACTTGGTCAAGGAGGTTTCGGCGTTGTGTACAAAGCAAATATTCGAAAAACAAATCGATTTTATGCGGTGAAGAAATTGAAGCTAACAGAAATTGAAGTTAACGATACGCAATGGTAAAGTGACGGAGGGTGCACATGAGAAGATTGTCAGGGAAGAAGCATTACAGAAGATTGTCAGAGAAGAAGCAATAATGAATAGAACCATAGGCCATCCAAATATTGTAACACTTATTGGCTCTTTCATTGATTGGGATAACAGTTTGTGTATAATCATGGAATTTTGTGAACTTGGAGACCTTAATCATTATGTGACAACAACGTATGTACCAGAGGATTTAAAAGTGCTGCTTATGTATGACATGTCCAATGGCTTACACTTCTTGCACCAGATCAATATTGTTCACAGGGATATGAAGCCTGCAAACGTGTTAGTCACCCAGTGTCAATTTCATGGACGTCCTGTATGCAAAATATCCGATTTCGGAGACGCTAAAATGCATGCATTTGCTGGTCAATTATTCCAAATGGCATCTAATCCTCTTGGCAGCTATCTGACATCAACCCATGGAACAGATGCATATATCGCTCCAGAAGTTGACCAGAACAATTACACCAGTTTATGTGATGTATTTTCTCTCGGAGTTATATTTTATGCTCTGTTCTCTGCTTACGCATGTATGACAAAATGTCTTAATCCATTAGTCGATGGTCTCAGCGGCTACGTGATGAGGCAAGTACGGGATGCTTGTCAGGTGAATAGGAGAATACAGAGTGCACTGGAAGGACTCCAAACTTTACCAACAGAATTAAGAGATCTCACACTGAAGAGATGTTGAAGAAGGATTACCACGAGCGTGTATGCTGTTTTACTGTAAAGTCGACACTGAGCACTTACATTACAGGGATGCAGATGAGAACAGGAGGAAGATATATATTCTGACATAAACCGACTTCAGTGACTGAAGTCACATGTGTTGCTGTATTACTGTGTATTTTAGCTGGATATTTTACAAACCTTATTCTGATTGTCTTTCTAACATCGACATTATTGGACAGAGTTTAGATTGTTTCTGTAGTCAGACTACGGTGTTACACCTGATCATGTCTTTGATATTTTGCTCGACCCTTAGCTAACACCATCGATTTGGTTACATGATATGCTAAGTAATTGTTGTTGTATATTGTATGTGTATGTTACTATGGCGGAATACTAAAGGGATGTCTGAACATGACATGTAACCGTGACAAGAACATGTTGAAGACGTGTTCAACAGCTATAAATAGTCCCAGCTCATGCATACACCGTAGACACATGATTCCACGACATTTATTGATTTGACCTTGAGATATCTGAACAGTCAATGGGATAACGAAAGCTATAAATAACGATGACATTCCATTGATTTTGATCTGATCTGTTAATTTTGAACAGCAGTGACAAGTCCTAGAGTAAAATGATTATATTGGGCGAGAGGTACATGACCGTTTACGTTTTGGTTTTAAATGGTGTATTAACATAGCCAAATTCTGTATAAACCGGCCATTTTCTGCTGCCATTAGCATACATAATTTGTTAACTGATGGACAGGGCGTATATTTACATGGGATATAATGCCTCCTTGGATCTTCATTAAGTGTACAGAGAAGGGCGTGACAATCTTCTTCAATATGAATTATTGGAATTGAAATATTTCTGTGATGAAACATTAGATCATAGTTTCCCATTCAAAAGCGCGATAGTAATACTTTCCAATTCACAGACGTCTATGACTGTTCACGCATAACGTGTTGTTTTAACACTGAATACGAGTATGAACATTCTTCATTTCGTATATGTCTTGTTGAAAACAATCTTTACATCTTTGTTGTACGATGGATAAATCTGAAAACACCCCTAGCTCCCTGTCCAATCGACTCATATCCAAGACCCAGCTGAAACAGTGTGGTGTTATTGAATATTGTCCAGTTATTTCATAGGTTTGGATGAATAGCGGTCAAGACGCACTGAGTTGAGTTTTAACCAATATAAGACAGGACGTTTCAGAGCCAATGCATATATAGGGTATCTTCCGCGTTCCCTTAGTACAGTTCCCGTGTGGCTGATGTCGAGAAATGTTTACATGCTTGTGACTGTATTTATTTTACTTTACACATTTGAACACCCCAAATCTCAGAATCATACTGTGGAATTGTCAGGATTTTACAGTCAAAAGTTTCATGTAAGGTTTCTATAGAATAGCCTACCAAGATATAGTTGCACGGTGATGACACGTTCATTGGATTTGTACGTCCACTGTACTATTGTAGATTGTATTTCTAAATACTACAATTCTTGTTTTGTCTGTATTTGCTTGAACATGAATCATGGATTTTTGAAACATGGCATCGATACACCCTTCGATCATTAGTGCTTCAAATACAGCATATATCCATGTCTCTGATTTGTATCAATATCAGACAAATGAAATGTAATATTCATTAACTTTTGTCTGACCTTCATTTGTACATTTAGCTTGATAAATTTAATAAAAGGATAAAGTTAAGAGATTATTCACGTTTTCAATCACGATTACGCCTGTACCCATATTGCTCCTATACCATGCATTATGGGATGGGCAGTCGCGTGAGGAGCCGTAGTTTGCTGCTCGGAGTAAGGTTTTGGCTTGGGTCGGGAGACGGATGACACCAGAAATGGGCTACACGCATTGGCACCCCAATCCTCGGAACCCTGGGCATAAAACATGTAGTACATTTGGAACACTCGGAGGGGTGGTGGTGGTTGTCCGCACCCCCGCACCCCCTCTGGATCCGCATATGCCATCAGACAGTAAAAACAAATGATGAGAAATCTTTAGAAAGCACTGGTTCATAAACTACAATAAAAGCCAACCTCGCTTAGGAGGAGCTACTTGTATGTAAAATGAAATTAAAAGGCAATATAGAAGAAAAACTCGATTTGAGGGCGTTCCAAACCAAGGTGTCAAATTACCTCAAATATTTTACAGGAAGAGAAAGTTTTACTTCTTCCGTTCGCAGGGAATTGTTCAAAGGAACAATTATTTTTATTGAGAAAGACTTTAGCGAATATATACACGCCGGTCTTTTATACCACTCAGGGCTTGTGTAAACAAATATTTAAAGTTCTTTATTACCAGTGTTTTATAAGAAGCAGGTGTTTAATACATAACTGACTGGTTTTAGAAAGATGTAGATTCTATTATGTTTACATTACGCACAACGCATGTTTGTAGTTTTAAACATTAAACTGTAAAATTAATGTTCAAACATTTTGTACATACGCAAACCCACATTTAAAGTATTTGATGCTACCAAAGGGCCTCTGATTCCGGCAATGGCGGATTTCTTACTTCTGTGATGCCTTCACAATAATATCACAAAGATGGCAGATAAGACATATTGGGGTCAAAGCGTGCATGTGCCTGTACATGTGTGGTACATGACTTACACATACATAAATATTTGTGTTATGAATGTATTCTATACGCTCTGATTGTCTTAGACGACCGGGTGGTACAGCTGACTGCTTTAATGGTGACACCAATGTCCGTCAAGGTTATAACATCTTTGAATCCATTGACATATATTATGTTTGTAAATCAGATAGCTGTTAGAACTGTTAGACAAGTGGTACGACAGTCTCTGCAGGTCTTTCGTGGGGACTATTTGATGTGGCAGTTAATATTACCGAGGAGTGGGTTTCAAACCCGGATCCTAACTGTGGCCTCCTGTCTACTGCGCCACTCTGCAACAACCAATCACAGCCAGTGGTTTTGGCTTTTAACGCTGCACTCAGCAATAGTCCAGCTATATGGCAGCGGTCTGTATATAATCGAATCTGGCTCAGACAACCCAGTCATCAAAACTATGAGCATCGATGTACGCGTTTGGGATACGATGACATGTGTCAACCAAGTCAGCAAGCCTGACCATTGATCTCGTTAGTCGCCTCTTACTACTAGCATGGGTTGATGAAGGGTTAGAACTGGCCTTCATCTTCACGGGTCTACAAAGATAGTCACAGATGGTTCGTAAAGACAATTGCCGTGTCGATTATGAAACGACAGAGCGCTTTTCATATTGGCGTCACCAGCTGTAATGATTATTCTTCAGATGCTGCTACATTGAACATATTGTTCTATACTGAAAGCCATTAAAACGCAATTGGCATTTGTTGTCCTGGAACTTACAAAGTTCTATTGAAGATTTTAATCCTGCGATACAGAAGATGTAGGGATAAAGGAGGCTGTTATTCTGGCCCATTTCGAGTTCGAGTCCCGGAGCATTCCTCTCACATGAACTTTGATATTTAAAACTGAACCTTTGACATTTCTCGTAAACACAACCACATTACAAAAGCACAAGGAATTGTGGAACTCAATCACTTTGAGAAAATGCCACGCTTGACACAAGACGAAAGGAATCAGGCTATCGGTATGGTCAGCCAAGGTGCTTCAGATGTGATGATTGCCAGGCACTTTAATGTGCATTCATCCACTGTTAGTCGACTCCAGACAATGTTTTCAGGCCACCAGAAGAGTTGCTGATCGTCCGCGACCTGGTGCACCACCTGTGACGACGGTTCCAAACAGCTGCTGATTTGGCAAGGAGGACAATTGGGTGGAGACAATTTTCTATGTTACCCGATGGAAATGCCGAAATGTGGGAATTCGTTTGGTACTTCGTGTATGTAGTGTTTAGGCTGTTGCCTAACTCCGGTACTCCTTATTATGATAAAATACAAGTGCTTCAAACAGTTCAAAATTAACATTGAGGTGTTCGGTAAGATAAATACGTCGTTCACTGTCCCTCCGGGCCCCTGGGTTGATGTTCCTCTATGTTTGTTCTTTCGGGCCCTTCGAGCTCAAGGGGATATAAACAAACATAGAGGGTACATCAGCCCATGTCCCCCTCGAGACCAGTGAACAACTTATATTATATCCTGAGATATATTTATATACCTTTGGAACATTGTTTCATACAATTCATTCACTAATTCATTTATAAAGAAATGAAAAAGAATGGGGCTGAGGGAATTTATCAACGGTGGCATAATTCGGTCGGAATCCAGCTTATGCTTCTCATAGTAAATGATTTATGTTTATCCATATCCTTAAACGCCGTTCTAGTATAGATGTAAAAGTTTTCCAATACTGTCCAGTAGTGAAATGACTCTGTAGTTTGATGGGTTGGTTCTTGATCCAGTATTATATAAGGGAAGAATAATAGCCTGATTCCATGGTTCAGGGAATACACCAGTATCAAATATTTTATTAAAAAGTAGGATTAAATATGGAATAAGGGTTTCTGATGAAGTCTTGTAAATTTCTCCACGTATGCCGTCTTCCAGAGGACTTTCCTTTCTTAAAACTTTTAATTTCTTCCTTTATTTCTTCCTCAGTGATATTTTTACTAAACAGATCATTCGTCCAGGGAGCAGAAGTACAATTGTCACAGGAATGGCTTTGTATAAACTGTCTAACTGTATGATCCAATGAACTGTTTCTTCTCGTTCAAACGTAGGATTTAGTAGTTCATTAAAATATGAAAAACACTCTTCAGGTTTTGATATGATCTTGATTGGTCATGGATTTAATGCTTTTTTGAACAGTGCTCAAAAAGGATTTACAGGCACTATATTTAGCCGCAAGGTTTATCTTGTCTCTTTGGCACAAATTATATGCAGTTCTCTTCTGATCACAACACTTCTTTAATTTTGATTTGGCAGATGTATAGTGTTGAACATTAAAGTCTTGTACTTTCTAAAAAGAGTTCGCATTTTACATTTCTCCTTCTCAATTCTTCTGCACTGATGGTGGTTGTTCCCTTCGAGGTGGTATGCTTTCTCTCCTAGTTGTATCAGTTACATTGTAAAACCGAAACATAATAACATCTGATAATTTCTTTGACTGCCATGTTTACATTTACCCTCAACAGGGTTATAAAATCAGTAAACATTTGTTGCACTGTTACACTTTTCAAAGATATTTCTAAACCGCTACAACTGAAGATGACGATGAAGACATGATATCCGACCGACAATATTCAAATTTAATCATGACAACCAAATCATAGAACTTCCCACCTTGAGAGTCCATGAAAAACACATTGTAAATGCAACATAAAATCCGACGTACTTTAAGCGTATACTATAATCTCATGCTTTTGTGATTGAATTAATGGATTAACCTACAATTAAGCAGAAGATTAAATATAACCGTTTATCAAAGACAGATCCAACACATATTGTCCGACCCGCAAAGCGCTGGTTTCATAACTGTTACATGCGGTTGTCACACTCAGTCTCAAACAATGGTCATTTTCCGCGAAACATTGGGTCACTGTATCTCTAGCGAGGGGTGCAAGGTTCTGTTTCAAATGCGTAAAGTGAGCTTCATTTCATTCACAACCCATACAATGATTGACATGTTGGGAGAATGGGCTGGGCTTACATAATTACAGAATTTATAGAATTTTGCTATGCATAATAGACTGACGCTTAGCTGCTTAGGTTGTACTTATTTGAAATATTGTGAATGGCATCTGGTTTCGCTTTTCAAGAGGGAGCTATCATATTTCAGTTTAGGCTGAAATAATGTATTAGGGACTGTGCCACAGGCTAAGAATGTTTGAGGGTAAATAAAGAGAATTGGGAATAAGTCCGAATCTCCTAGGGGTAAACTTTTTATGATTCAAATTCATGTTCTGTATATATTTCATTGGTTAACTATGATCTATTTGATCCGTTCAGTGTATATCATGAATTTAAACATTCACCAAATGAAACATTTCAACTTAACATAAAAAAAATAGTTTATTTGCAGATATTAATGGGTGTATAGGGTTTAATTGTCTTTCAATGGATAACACTCATTGGATATCTAGTGTCAGCATTAAGGTTGATAGGGTTTTTCCTTTGTTGTCAATCATAATGAATGAGCTTAAACCAAACAGAATTACAAGCCAGGACAATGCCACATGAAAACAACTCATTCACACTTATTCTTGATGTGTAGTGTATAAATCAGGCGCTACAACACAAATCTAAACATTCTGCCACAAATAGACAAGAAAGAGATACTGATTTCATATAATATTTATTAGCTCGTACAGTAGACATTAGGGTAGGAGCACTCACAAACTCTACTTTACATCTATTGTGCATTACAATGCCTCATTGTTCTTCTCCTTCCTCCTGTCCCGATACTTCACTCTCTCGGTCGGATATCATGTCTTCATCGTCATCTTCAGTTGTAGATGTGACTCATAGTCTAAATTTTCCTGTTACTATGGGCCAATTCTAAAAATATAACATATATGGACCCGGTGTTGATATAAAAAGTTTCCTCTTGAACCAACAAACCTGTTGTAAATGATGTCTCAGTAATCTGTCACATTCTTCTGTCACAGCAGGTGACCTAGATTTAACACATCTCTCTGCTTAAGATGAACCTATCTAGTCTTGTTAAGCTCCAATTTTCGTTGTGTCAAAATAATATAATGTCTTAGTTAAAATATTTTAATGTCAATATGACCACCAATTTTTTTATTGTATATTATATGTGAGTAATGATGATACAAATCTCAAACACGCAAATCGATGACGCGGATCTATTTATGCATGTGTTGTCACCGGTATTGCGTCGTTTGAAATCCAATCTTCTACCTCCCTACTTAAACCGCTGAACCGGCTTTAACTGATCATCAGATCCTGCTTCATGCTGCTTGATACACCCTAGGTCGGAATGTTGACTTGCCCACCAGCGAGTCATTTCATAACAGAACACAGTGAATGAAACAGGTGTGGGATATTACTACAACTTGTTGATTGTGTCTTGGTGCGTGGTAGATATTCCAGAATATATGAGGACAAACGTGGTATATATTACGTTTGACTCGATGGGGCGACTTTCATTGAAACCTTATAAACGCAGTGACTCTATCTCTGTCAGTACGGTGTATATGGGTGATCAGGCTCATTGACACGTCATCGTTCTGAAAAAGCTACACCCGCTTTTCTCCCTACCGGGAAGTGCAGTCACTACCTTCAGTCTGTGCTACAAGGACATAGCCAGCCATGGGACAGTTATTCTCCACCTCCACATTTGGCGCCTCTTACGACAAACTGAATACACTTGGTGAAGGGAGTTTCGGCGTTGTGTATAAAGCAAGAAATCGATACACAAAAGAACTTCATGCGGTGAAGGAAATTAAATTTACACTTGATGCGACGCAGCGTGAGCAGTTTTCTAGAGAAGCAGAATTACTGAAAAGAACCAGAGGTCATGCAAATATTGTATCAATTTATTGGCTCTTTCATTTGGAGTGACAGTTTCTATATAATCATGGAATTGTGTGAACTTGGAGACCTTAATTATCATGTGACAAAGCGGAATGTATCAGCGGATTCCAAAGTGCTGTTTATGTATGACATGTCCAATGGCTTAGGCCTACTTGCACCTGATCAATATTGTTCACAGGGATATGAAGCCTGAAACGTGTTAGTCACCAAGAGTCATGGACGTCCTGTATGCAAAATATCCGATTTCGAGAAGCTAGAATGCATGCGTCCGACATGACATCTGATACTCTTCCCAGCTATCTGACATCAACCCATGGAACAATGGCATATATCGCTCCAGAAGTTCTCCTGGGTCATTACACCAAGTCATGTGACGTGTTTCTCCTCGGAGTTATATTTTATGCTCTGTTCTCTGATTACGAATATCTCAATCCATTCGTCGATGGTCAGTGTATGTATGAGGTAGCTTTTAGCAGAATACAGAGTGCACTGGCAGGGCTCCAAACTTTACCAACAGAATTGAGAGATCTGACACTGAAGATGTTGAAGAAGGATTACCACGATCGTGTTGAGTGTAGTACAGTGAAGGAGACACTGGACACTTACATAAATGGATTGCAAAATAATAACCCTCGCCGCGATGTAGGAGGAGGACAATGGTTTGAGCAACCTACGGACGTCCGTCCGCGAGTCCGTCTGTTCTTCCGTCCGCGCGCCCTCTGCCCGTCCGCGATGATGGGTACTGATTTTCTCAAAACCTTTTTATAGATAGGGAAACCAAATTTGGTATGTGTTTTCAGGACATGAATGCTTGATTGAGATCGGAAACGGAAACCGTGTTACAATTTGTTAAAGAGTTATGGCCCTTTGTCATGCGTTTCTTGACTTAGTGCACGGTATCCCCAATGGGGACAGATTTTCTCAGAAACTGTTATAGACAGGGAAACCAAATTTGATAGGTGTTTTCTGTGGACATAAATGCCTTGATGGAGTTCAAAACGGAAACCGAGATACAATTTGCGTGTTTCGGAATATTTCAGTGCTTTGTCCATCTTTAAAGAAGACTGTGTAACTATTGCGAAAACTTATGGACAAACAAATAATAAATTGTGGAGCTCCGCGAGGGAAGGCGACTAACCTCTTCCAAGTTTGGCCTTGTCTGTAAACTGAAAACATCAACGCAATTTGATAATGTAGTAAAGACTATTTTTGCATATTCATCATTTGATAATGATGCTCTGAGATGGGGACGTACTCATGAGTCGGCTGCAAGGAGAAAATATGCAAATCTGTTGAAAAACATAACGTGAACGCAAAGGTTGTTACATGTGGTTTCATTGTGCATCAGGAGTATCCTCATCTTGATCCAGTCCTGATGGTGTTGTTCACATTGGGAATGAAACTGGTCTTCTTGAAATTAAGTGTCCTTACAAGTGGCGACTTTCCACGGTATATGAGGTAGCGGAAGATTCTCATTTCTGTTTTTGAAAAGTAAGCCACGCATACTACTACGAAATCCAAGGACAAATGGCTCTATTCTAGATGAACTGGTGTGATTGTTTCATATGGGCTCTAAAGGATTGTCATGAGGAAAGAATACACTTTGATTCAAGATTCTGGGAGGGCTGCGTCCATCTATTGAATGACTTTTATATCAATGACATTCTGCCAGAGCTCTTCTCAACTCGTGTGAAAAGAGTGAGTGAGTGAGTATGGGTTGGCGCCGCTTGCAACCTGTGTAAATACATGAACGACTTTAGTTTCACACCTCAGCTATGTCCATTAGATCATGTTTAAAACCTGTGTGCTGTGGATGGTTTACTTTATTTCTTTTAAACCTATATAGGGACTATTCACTTCAAACATATTTCATTCAAGTTTGACAAAATGTATGTATTGACAATACATACTATTGAAAGTTTCATCCACTGAGTTATTATATGTTAGTTTTACTACAAATTTTTCTCCTTCTGGTCATCTTTCCACAAATTAGTCGAAACGAAATCAGATGATTACAATCTACTACATACATCTCCCTAAAACGAACAGTGTTAAGTAATTTGCTCATTATCTGAAAACATCTATTATTATCCCTTGTCTACCAGATATATGGTAAAAGACTTACTGATGCAAACGTACTAAATGTGTGTGCAGGATTGTGTGAACTTATAATACCCATTTGTAATCTATACTTCCCAATCGAAAGGAAAAACATGAACATCTTTATACACATGACTGTATTATCTATGTACACGGCTGGATTACTTAGAATACCTATCTGTAAACTATACCTTCCAATTGAAATGAAACAAGTGTACATCTTTATACACATGACTGTATTATCTATGTGCACGACTGGCAGAATTTAGAATGTCTACCTGTAAACATACCTTCCAAGTGAAAGGAAACACATGTACATCTTATATATATATGACTGTTTTATTCATGTGCACGATTAAATGAAGTTAAACTACCTATCTGTAAACTATACTTTCCATTTGACAGAAAAATTATGTACACTTTCATACATATGACTATTAGCTATGTGCACGATTGCCGGAACTAAGAATACCTGCCTGTAAATCCACCCTTTCCAATTGAAGGGTAAAACATGTATATCTATCTATCTGTCTATGCACGCGCGCACGCATCGTATCGCACACATACACACACACACATGAGTATATGAGTATGTGTATATGCATATTACTGTATTATATATGTTGTAGAGTGGGAACAAAATGGAAAAAAAAGATTGGTAATTGTAATTGTTTCACATTTTAATTATGATGTAAACATTCTCCTTTCTTCCCCTGTTACAAAATGTTGAAGTAACGGCTTTATGACATTAAAAAGTACCTGTTATAATTTTGAGGCTGTTTGTCATTTTATTACCAATTGTTTTTTTTATTTTATGGACAGTTGTAGAATTCAACTGTTGAATCCTGGCTTTGACATGCATAATCAATTAAGAGTTGTTACGTCAGTGTACATGCTGTGTTTTTCCCAGATGCTGGCACTGAAAGTGATGAAGAAATGTCTTATTTACTCAGTCAGCTTAATGTGTCCTAGGTCAGTGTGTGTGAGTGGGTTATATATGTATTTTCAAGTGTCTCAGTTACTGGCTGAGCTATCACTATTATGTTTTACTATGGACTCTTAGAAGGAACATTGTCGCGTTGTCGCATCGTCGCGTTGTCGCCCTCTCAATAATAACAAGCAAAAGAGGCAATATTAACGAAAGCGTGACAATGCGACAATACGACATATTCATTATGTCGCGTTGTCGTGCATTTTAGGCTTTTTTACACATCTTAGATGAGGCGACAACGCAACATATTTTGACCTTGAAAATTGTGGCTATGTCGCATGTCGTCCTTTTGGATGAATACAAAATATTTTTCAAAACGCGACAATGCGACACAGTGACAATGTGACAAATGGCCGAAATGTCGCGTTGTCGCATTGTCGCGCTTTGCTTTTCCTGAATCTGACCAATCACATAGCTGTCAAAACGGACAGAAAAATAAATGATATAAATAAATTCATTGGCTTTATCAAAAGGACAAGATTAAGTTTGCTGGCTGGAATTCTTCTTCTTATTAATTAGATGAAAGTCTGACCTGGTACAAGCACACACAACATCCAGTGGTGCATGGCATGTTTACAGCAGAAAAGGACATGTCCTGATACAGTAACTGAGGGAAGGGTGCAATGCTAAAAACAACCCATAGTTCATCAGTATCAGCCAGAGCTGAGTGACATAATCATGATTATAGATGGAAACTAATACTCCAGTGTTTAAATAAGAATTCCTTTGGGCCACATTAAGGCCTTAAATATATTGCATAAATAACAAAGCGCAAATATACGAACAGCAAAAGAAACGCAAGTTTCGAAAAATGAAATCTAATAAAAGTAAGAGTTCATATTTATAGAACGTTCATGTAAAGTGACGTAATGATCCCAGATGAGATGATGTAATGCAATTTGACGTCCATACGAAACATTCGCACAAACACGCCCACAGTGCAGCAAAACCATATTTTAGCACGTGCATCGACGGTTCTGGATGGAAAGCATGCATTTCACTCTCAGGTATCCTTTATAAAGGTTTGTGTCAGAAAACAGTTAAGTATTGACGCTAGGAGGTGTACACACCACACAAACGATGCCTAGACTAACGAGGGAATGGCCATTTGAAAGTTGCACGGAGGTAGCTCTACAACCGCTGTAGCTAGACATTTGGGCTGTCATCTTACCACCATTACACGACTTGCTCAACGTCATCAGCAAACCGGGGTTGCTGCTGATCGCCCACGTACCTGACGACCACGAGTGACAACTCATGCGCAAGATCGGTTCATCCGGGTCACACGTCTAAAGAACAAAACTCAAGCAGCGACAGTAAACAACAGCCTTAGTTCTTGGGTCAAGGGGAGCGGTGTCCAGCGATACGATAAGGCGTCGTCTTCGGGCTGCTGGAATCCACTGCCGAGGGCAATATGTGGGGCCAATTTTACCACGTCAACAACGCCAGCGACGTTAACAGCCCTCACACAGCAAGGGTGTCGATGGATTGTCTGGCTCAGAACAACATTAACGTTCTTCCATGGCCGTCTCTTTCCCCGGATATGGCCCCATTGAGACATTCTGGGACGGAATTGGACGCAGGATTGCATTGCACAGATGGAACAGAAATTGGTGTTTGATGGAACCACTTGCCTCAGGCATTCTTTCAGACTGTAGAGAACTCAATGAGGCCATGTTGCACGGCCTGTGTCCAAGCTCAAAGTGGCTATACGTGCTACTAAAGAGACTGTCACATTTCGCGTTCAGGGTATCTCCATTTGACGGACTGTGATCAATTTGAACTTATTGCAATTCAATGTCAACAGCAACTTTCAGCTGTTAAACTGACAGTGTTTTCTATAGAATAAATGATTAGATATAATTTTAAATTGTCTTCTGTTAAAAATCTTGACAAAAAGCCAGACTTGCGTTTCTTTTGCTGTCGGTATATGTCAGTACAATCATATATATTCTAAACATCAATGTTTATATTGGTCTAAATAAGAAAGCTGATGGTTAAGTTAGGGTGATAAACATTGCCTTGGATTTGGAAATACAAAGTACCGTACACAGTTCAAAAGTGCAAGTGTATCAGTATCTTTAATTCTTGCCAACAAGTGGAGGCTGAAGGTTGTCAAGTGAACGAACTTTTTCAAATTTTTGTGACTTTCTTGGCCAAAGTAATTGGAATGACCCCTTGTACAATCCCGGAGGCTCTTAAAATGTTTAATTGCCATTTCAACATAAATTCTTAAATTTGCAATGCGTTTTGTTTGTTCAACTTCTCTTCGTAAAAAACTTTTATTCTTAAGAGGTGGAATGTGTAACTTCACTCCTATGGGTGTTGTCAGATCAGAAATGGGTTGGTCGGTTTGTTGTTTAACCCCACACTCAGCAATATTCCAGCTATATGGCGGCGGTCTGTAAATAATTAAGTCTGGACCAGACAATCCAGTGATCAACAGCATAATTATCGATCTACGCAATTGGGATACAATGACATGTGTCAACCAAGTCAGCGAGCCTGACCACCCGATCCCGTTAGTCGCCTCTTACGACAAGCATTGATAACTGAAGACCAATTCTAACCCGGATCTTCACGGGTCAGAAATGGGAAATCCTTTATCAGCCATTATTGAATCCCCAGGAAATGTAGCAAACCACATAATTTGGTAATCTGTTTATCACTGGTACTACAACACCAAAGATCAGACAGAAACGTTATTACCCCAGCAGGACCAATCAATGAATCATATGCGACTTA